ACTCTCGTGCGTCGTTTCCAATCGGAAGTTTTCAATTTTATACTGTATGTAATAGTGTCTGTGCGTCCCCAAATTGCATTTGCATATATTTGTTCAAAGAAAATGTTTTGCAAAATAATCGATATAGCTTTGTTACACTATACAAGCAATCAAACTATTATGTTACAATACTACAACCAGTACTGAATAATCATGAAGCAATCATAATGCTTAAAAAAAGTATCATACACGGCGGTAAGGCAACAATTATGGCAGTGTTACTTTTAACGAATACTAGTAGCCACTAAATTCTTGATTAAACTTCTTTAATGATCTCAAATTTTATCAATATAAAATTATTTTTATACTAATAGAGGTCATTCACGATGTGTGAACAGAGGTTAAAATTTGCATATATTAAAAAACAAACATGTAAATTATGATGAAGATCGCTAATAATAGTCTAGTTGACTATTATTAAGACAAATTTATTTTTATTTATTTAATTAATTTTATTAAACTCTTTATACTGTAGAGTACACTTCCTGAAATTTATTTTATGAGAACAATAGCAACAAATTTCAAAAGATCAACGCATTACGAAATATATATTCAGATTTTAATAGCATATATTCCATTCGAACATAGAAGCATTGTCACCCTTTTTCAGTAGAAACTTCGTGCAAAATTGTTGACAGGATTCACCGACTGCCTCAAAAGTATGTGATTTTTCGAAAAACACATTTATAGAAAGAAAGATAGAAAATCTTTCTGACGATAAAATGACTCTTGGGCAGTACTCATATTTATACGTAAACCTCTCCCAGAACGCGTAAATTGTATTTTCAATAACCAGGGGATTGCCAACACAGTCATTGCTGTAATTATTGTTTCATCTTTTTGTCAAAACTCAACAGCTAAAACACGTACAACACGTATCAATTCTGACAATTGTACGTGTATCTATCGGGCGCGTAATGTATAACAATGTTAATATGTTAATTTGTAACTTGCATTGGCGATTACGGACACGTGGTTTATCTGTCATCGGCCACAAATTATTCGTTATTTGATATTACTGACGTTATTGCCCCTCATTTAGTAAATTACATTTGTGAGTGATATATATAGGGAAAACTCCCAGCTGATTGAGCTGGTATAATGACTTACCAAACTACACAGGGTTAACTAGTACAATTATTAGACGACGAGCGCGATGAAGAACTAATTCATAAGAATATCACAAGAATTGAAAGTTGCTATATGTGCACATCAATTTTCGCGTGATTCAGAATTTGGTGTAATTTTAGTGTCTGTGATTCGCCCTGGATTAATCAATCAGAAACAGAACACACCTGCTCCAAACCGTCAACTGGTTGGCTCAAGCATGGCTCAACAGGTGTTTTCAATGTTTGCGAGCCAATAGAATTCAGTGTCACGTTTACTTTGTTGTCAAGAATGGAAACTTGATGGGAACACAATTTTACAAAGACACGTGTTGTTGACACCCGGAGCGTTTTATTGCCACTTCAGCGTTCACCTCCAAGTTTCCGCGTCACTTATTGAGTTTGACGTGTGCATAATTAATGACTGAGTGAACATAAACGTATTCTCGTTTCTTGATTTAAAGAAAGAAACAATATTCGAGACCTCAAATGCGTCTGTCTCACATTTGAACAGCACCCGTTTTAACTAAACTGGCTCACTGCATTATCAGAGAAGAACATAATAAAGCGCTAGTACAGACCATGTCAACAAGGCTGAATACAATACAGATGCAGAGTTTAGATGGAACCTCGCAAGAAATGTCATCATTCGACTACGCCGGTTACAATGTTGATGAAAACGATGGCACACCCCCACTCGATGGTAAAGTAGTCGTACAAGACGCCCAATACTTGGATGAACTCTACATCAGTGCCACGCGCCGACCAACCAGTCTGTGTGGCCACCTACGTCAATTTACTCTGCATAACAGGTAAGCCTATTTCTATCTTCTCCTGGAATTATTGATGCTGCTTATGAAAAATAAACCGACACGTGGCCAACCATAATGGCGTACTCCCGCCGGCAGTTACGGTACTTTCACATGTAATGAAGATTGTCTTTCTTTGAATCAGTGGATTTTTTGGCAATTCTTATAATAAATTAAATGAAATCCTTGGCTGTCATTCGACTTGCTGGTAGTATTAACACACTATACCACATTATGTATAACACCATATTGAATACATTGTAAAACCTGGCGAGCATCTTGGCTATTTCACAAATATTGTTTTCTGTGAGCGATTCGGTTATAAATTCTCCAAATTAGTGTACAATGGCAACTCTTTATATACTTTGCGTGGGTATGCTAGCTTATATACATTACTGATTACCCATAGTCGTTAGTCTATTAACACTTGTGCTATTCTCTGGAATACCGCGAAAAATACCATGAATAAAAATTTGATTAAAAATGCGACCTTGTTTTGAAAATAAAGGCACGACATAATGCACATTTGTTCATTTCGAGAATAGTTTTCAATTTTAATAAACATTCTGGAACTTCAAACGAAAGTAATTATTGACTATTAAATCTACCAACATGACTACGCGTTATATTTATTCCATTCCACAGCAAGTCTGTGGTGAAATTCAGCCCCCAACGACAGGAATAAATAACACTTTCGTTTTTTGTTTTGCATTTTGCATGTAATGTAAATCCTGTCTATTAATTATGGCCAGTATTTAAATGAGTTGAGACAAATACTACATGAATAGAAATGGAACACATTTTCGGAAATACCAACCCCCATTCCCTATTAGTACTGTGACGATTAAATTTAAAATAAATGAAATTGTTTAAAATAAGATAGATATGTAATTATTCCAGTGTAATCAGTCGTTATTACGAACCGTTTAAGTACACACACTTAAACTAATGCGACTTGAGCTTAAATGTATATAACCTGGTGTTAACTGTAAATACTACATTAATCAATTTGTCAAGGCTTATAATAACTAATCGGCCGGGGTTCTAATTGCCATGACAACTGAACACCAAACAACGTGTGCAAAATATGTACACGCTCATGTATGTAATATGAACTGTGATACATAACTGCGGTTATTAATAATTAAGTAATAACATTTATGAATACAAGTTGTTTTATTTATGTTTATTCACACGATTGGTTATAAATACAATGTATTCTGAAAAGACGTGACTGCAGCGCAATAATGTGAATGTGTGTGTAGTGCACACGTCACCAATTCTGAATTTAATAGTGGTTGGCGAGTTTTCCAATCTGACGGAGTTAAATGCGCATGCGTCTCATGGTTTGTTATTTGTGTCTTCATTTAAATCAAAGACAAATTGTGTATTAGGCAAAATCAACTTAACAAACTCGAACGTACTACTACACTATCTATAGAGTGTCATTTGATCATGTACAGTAAAGGCGGCAGCCGTAGCTTCCGAGCTGTGCTTAAGAATTGCAATTGCTTCGTGTCTGCTGATTCTTTACTTAGCGGGGTTGAGAGAGGGGTGTATAACGGAATATCGCAAACAAACTTGAATAAGTAGGAAGTGCCAAAAGTCATTATTCTAAATTAGTAGGCGTATGCGCTCGACTCAATTATACTGTCTAAAATGTATTTTTGTAGTATTCTGACGCGCGACGATTTATATAAACCGAATGACAATGTAGTAGTCACGGTCTTGGTGGACTGTTTCTATTGACTTCTGCTTAAACAACACGAACTGCAATATTTACATGAAATTCCGACCAGTATGCACGTCTTAGTTTCTGGTAGGAAATTTCAGAGTGATCAGAGTTGTTGTATTTAAAACTGCACGACTATCCCTCGATGTACATTATAATGTGACTTCTTTAGTTGTGAGCCTTTTGCAACACACCGGGGAGGGTACTGTGAGCATGCGCAGTTCGAATTGGTGATGGGCATAGAAGTTTTGTTATATTCTATCAATTGTATGTGGTGTTTGAAATTTGTACATTTTATATTTAGAGATTCTGAATAGCTTGACTGTATGTCTGCAATACAGGTACTGCAATTTGCTAGGCGAGGTGACCGGAATTTACACGGTTTTATGCACGAGCTTAAATCTTGCAAGCTATAAGAGGCATTACGTATATTGCAGGAGAAATATATAGAATGATTAGTCTGACAACACAGAATATTTTTTTTTCCGGATTTGTAAAAGGGTTTGATGATGGGCTGTGGGATTAGTTCATTTTAGCCTCAAGTTACAGATCCGCTATTTTATATGCGAGAGTTGTGCGTCTATTTTTTGGATTGTGAAGTGAGGACGATGGTTCAGAGTGTCGACCCGATTGATGCATTTCAGCTCGGTAATTATAGGTAATATCCGTTCACTGCAAGATCTCGCGTAATGCGTGAAAAGCGCGGAAAAGTACGTCTGCTGTAAAAATCGAATTATTTGATTTCGAACCTGATTTTTTTTTACATTTCAATGTCGAAATCCCAAGCCTCCAGAGAGGAGTATGGTGCCAAGATACACTCACTGCACGCCAATGTGCATAGGACATTATTAAGCGTGGAAAAAATTGTTTCGTGTCAGTCGAATTACACGCGATTTTTGACATAACGCGGGATCACGCAGTGAACGGAGAATGATCCATTGGTAAAACAAAGATTGATCGCAAATAAAAATGAACCGTTTTTAACCAGTCTATGCAAGCCTACGAGTCATCATTGATACACACGGGAGAACATGACGACGTCGCTTATTCTCCATTTATTGGTATGTGACTTTTACGTATGACGATCAAATCGAATCCCATCTTGACCAATATTTCCGTCTTCCGTTCGCCTCTTCGTTGAAAGCAACTTTCTGGCGTTTTGAAATGAAACAACGCGGCGTCGAGTAAATGACCGGGCGCCCTCTCACGAAACTTAATAGCACTAGAGAGGTAGTCGAGTAGGACTTTCCCGAGCTCCGAATCTTCATCAAATACCTCAGTAATGTTGGCAGTTACTGGGATGTTGATACGTGTGTAGCGTATGTTGTGCTTATCCAATATCTCTGTCACGTCCGATGCCCTGCGCGAGAAACGACCAGAACTGAACTTTTCTAGCAGCCTAGCTCTTGCGTTGCTATCTGAGAGAATAGAAAAAAACAAATGCACGAATAAACATGGACTCCATAATAGTGATACAATTTCTGATCAAAGGACTATGCAAGCTCTTCAAGTTCGCTGAGATTCTCAACCAATTAAAAACAGTTTACAACACGAAGATTGATTGGTAGTGTAATTTGCATTTAATTCCAACTGAATTGAAGTTAAGACACACTGTGTTTTAATATACACAAGGAGGGTATACATGTAGTTAGACATTTGAATACCCCAAAAATTCTCCGTCCAATCAACAGTAATTCAAAATTGTCATATCCCAAGTCAATGTGCAGAGCGATCAACTAAGCCAACAAAGTTCTAAACAAAACCAGTTATTGCGGAGAGTGAAAGCCCGAGATTTGCAATATGCGTGATTTTAAATAAGATAATATAACTGTTGTTAATTGTCGAATACGGCACGCCACACCTGACAGTAAAAGGTGCAAAATGGCCGTCGAGATCTCGTTAAGAACGAAAGCCACGAAATTAGTTTTCTGAAGTCAACTGTTCCAACTACCATGGTTAAATAAGTCATAAGCTTAGAGTCGATGCGATGATTGAAGAGATCAGAACAAAAGTCAACTAGATCTGGGCGGACAAATTGTTTTACTAGTAGTGAACATGCTATAAACCGGACAATTTCGCAACTGACATTTTGATCGTTCACAAACCATATTCGTTCAAAAAAATGAACAGTCTACGACAGTGCGCTTTGTGTATTACTGGTAAATACCGCCAGTCCAATGCGCTTGCTGATGTTCCCGTGTCTTGAGACCAATACAATTGTACGTGTCGTGTGCTTCAAATAGAACTATTATAACTCAAAAACAATTAATTAATTGATTATACTCGCCTGAGTTGACGGACATCAAAAGCAGTCCACCTGGCTTCAATGCATGCATGTAGTGGAACAGGATTGTGTTTTCAAGATCCCGCACGTAGTAGATTGATTGAATCAGATGCACGACATGGAACTTCGAATCACAATGAATGCCGTGCTCGTATGTGCCCTGTAAAGAGAAACACATAAAAATAACTTGAATGAAATCACTGAGAGTTTGAGCAGGATGAATAGACCAACTGTGCATCTTTGACAGAGCGCACGTCTTTCGTAGCGTGCATTCACGAATTGAGAACTCGACATTAAACATGTATTGCACTATGCTTGTACATTTCACAAAATCACCGATAAATGCGATTAACATGAATAAATTACAGTTGCTACGTTACGTAGTATAGGCGCTTTTGGTATACCCCGGTAGTACGTTACGTAACTGTTTGGATGCGTCAGTCTGGCTAATAACCCCTGTTTAAGGAACAGTATTTGTTTTATTTGTTGAGAGTTAGAGCTGAAACCCGCCACTCGCATCCAGGTGCATTTTATCATATGGCTGGTTCAGGTTTCCAGAGATTTTAGTCCTGTTATTATTTTTGTTTTTGCACGTTTTTTCCCTCACGGGTATCATAATTATCAGGTTTAGCACTTATATTTCCGTCTACAGATTTGTGAATAAATCACGAGCCTCCGTTCGTGGCAGCGTGGTCCCACTCTTATAAACGGCGTACTTGGTGTTATTTATGATATAGTAGAAAAAACCACTTTGCATTCACAATCATCTGCCGGAATTTAAAGGGCGGCAGTCGTCGTGCCGCGTCCTGTTCGATATTGGACTCGTAGCGACGTATACAACGCGTGTAAAATACACTGTTTGTTTACATGAAATTCGAACACGCGCTGCGCGACGACCACCGCGCTTTAAATGTGTTCGTCTATAAAACAGGTTACCACTAATGCTATATTGCTATTTAATTTAATTTTCCCTTCACACACCGTTCTTGCCGTTCATTTGAAAATGCTTCTTTCCGTACCATCAACTTGAGAATAACGATATAGTATTATGAATTAATTATGCATAATAAGATAGCGTTACTGCGCATGGCAAAAAAGGTTTATTGACTACATGTAATAGAGAAATTCGTTCTAATCACGTGTTTGAGTATCAAGAAGTGAAAGTACGGGGAATAAAGATAACTAAATATTGTTTGACCTTGTATTCATCTGGGGTTAAGGTGCTCCATTCCATGTTTATTTCAACAGCCCGCTTCTTGCCGAGCAACGCTTTGTACCGTTCGTACAGCTGTGACACATCTTCCATGGGTTCGACAAACTGACAGTACACTGATCGGCTTTTCATCTCTGGTTTGAGTGTTGCAACCCATTCACGGACGCATCGAAGTATGGTCGTGTCTATTACCTCTAAAAATCACAAGAACAGTGAATACATGTCATAACTGACTACTAAAATCAAAACAAGTCGAACATTGCATATTCTTGTTTGTGATGCGTTTAATACTCGTTTAGCTGACTTGCATTAATTCATTCATTGTATTTAAATTGCAAAACCTCTTCCAATAGGGAAAACATAATTTTTTTAATAAATATAGACCGAATAAACGTATTATACCAAGGCTGAACAATTGATATATTGTATATTGCCAGCTGCAAAATTCAACGGGGCCACGAAAATCACGATTTTCGTAATTATCGTTTCTCCTGTGCCACAATCGGAGCCTGAAGCACTTCCTCCACACATCTAATTTACATACATTATGATCACCAGACAATTGGCGTACGCAGGAAACGGAAACCGGTCAAATATAAAATGGATGACTAATGCTTCAATGCGCTGGGCGCCCTTTCGCAGTACTCATTCCAATTACATCGCAATTGATTGTAGACGGACGCAATTAAGGAAATTTCAGCACCTGCTATTCCTTAATGACGACCGTTAGAAGAATATTAAATTCCAATTCTTATCATGCTACGTGTGATGTATGCATTTGCGTATTTCGGTATGCTTCAATTAAATATTACGATACCCATAACTAGTTATTTTTCTTGATTAAATTGATTAAAAAGATGTCGTCTCTGAAGAATTTGTCAACAACTGATTTTATATAGCTACATTATAATGTCATCTTCTCGAAGGAAATGGATGATTTAAAAATGTCGTTTGATTACATATTGCATATCTGCATTCCAGGTTGTATTAATTCGTGTTTTTACAACAATTACAATAAAATTAACATTTTTACTATTTTTACTATTACACTTTGAAAGATGCAATATGGATGAATGAATACATTGGATTATGTTTTACCGTGAACTTAAAACATTGCTCTTGTTCGACGAAACCGTGTAATTCTCTAACTAGGCAAAGTGCGTTGATTGTTCTGTTATCACAAAATCAATTACTGCGCATGCGTATTAATGTTTTTATCAAACGAATATGAATACGCAATGTAAACGCATTTTTTACTTTATGGTAAATAATATTCAAATTACTATCAATATGCAGTAGCAAACAACAAAATTGAAAACAAATATCGTACCCTTCAACAATTGAAACATACTGATCAATACATGAAGAAAACGCGCATATCGAAATGTATTTAAGTGTTGGCCCTAAATCTGAATATTAATGAAACTCGGTTCTGTTTATATTATCTGTTTCCGTAACGTTTAATTTATTTATATACATTGTTTCATTAGAGCATGACATTAAGCTAAATCGTTTTTAACTAAGAATGCTTAATTAATTACTCCTAAAAAAAAGAGGCGCCTGCCATTTGTGTACTACAATAGTTCATTAAAGAAATTCTACAAAATAAACTCGCTATGTCTATAATTCTAACGTTGCATATCGTACAGCTCTCTTTGTTTGGAACCTAATTTCGCATTTTTAAATCTGACTAATTTTGTTCTGTGTTTTATCAACCTACCATTTCCCGGACCCACAGCCAATACACGTACACATTCCTCTTTCGGTGACAACGTCTGTAGCACGGCCGGTAGTTCTTCATCCAGCCAATACGCCATAGTCTCGCAGTGGTTCGAGATCTCGTAATACTTCTTGATGGCGTAGTACGAATAGACGCTGATTCGACCCACTGAGTCTCGGGAACCATTGATAGAGGTAGCGTTTTCTTGGAGAGATAAAAAACGTGGTAATAACCATATCTACGTTAATTACTTAGTATGTCAAAATGCGATATTTATATAAATGTGCAGGTGACGTACCTGCCGATATATAGTACTGATTTTGTAGCGGCGCGAGCAAATTAGATGGAAGTGTGTGCAGGTGATGACGTTTTATTTCACCAAACCTGAGAAAAATGATGTATTCGCTCTGACATTATAATTTTTGTTTTTTTAATTTACTACATCATGTTCACGTATTTACCACTTCACACATTACTATTTCAAAATGACACTACCAGCCTACCATTAGCCATCTTCATGTGAACTTGACCACGATGCAAACAATTAAATGAAATATTCACTTTGCTATGTACATCTCATTCTAAAAATAGCGACAGTGTAAACCACTTGATTGGTCATCCATCCCTTTTTTTTCAAAGCACAATTAGCAGCGACGAATTTACTCATACATAACGTTCCGAAATTGTGAATTTAGCGTATGCACAACGTTTACAAATACATCTAGAGTTAGTCAGGACGATGGACTGTATACTTACTTCCATCCATGCCGAGCAGCGGAACCTCTTTTCTCAGCACTTTGTGGTAAATGGCCAAGTCAGTGGTGCTGGCTACAAACGGAACAGGTTTGAGCTGCACGAATCGTGAAGTGTTGTATGACATCAGACAAATTGTCGCTAGGGAACACAACAGTAGATAACGTTCCAGTGTTGAAATATGCAAATTAATATAAATGGATGAGTATACTTATAACATATGATATGTATGTGACGTTGTAGTGAGCATGCGCACTGATCGCGCAACGATTAATTAATATATATATTGTTCCTGAATGTCAGCAAATTATTCGGTTCAGTACAATCGATGTCGACATTCATTGGGGGTAATATAACCTTTTATAAATGAACTGTGACCTACAGTCTGATATATAAACTATACTCCACTGGCCTGTCGTAAAATGCCTACCAGTGCATAACCAAACGAATAATTAATATAACAACGTTGTCCATAAGTAGTCAGATTATCAGGAACACGTGCATGTATATTTAATAACGGCAGCGAACAACGCGGCCATTTTATTTTCGGGGAGGAACGGCCGGCAGTCACTGCGCATGCGCACTCGACGTAGACAAGTGCGACAACCTATATTGCAGGATTACGGGAATACTTCTTTTCACTTGAATTTATTTTTGCTGAATTAATAAATGTGAAAATAAAATCCAGCGAAAGTATCTTTTTTTTCATAAATTTTACATTCAACTTATTCAAAATAAACTTCATACAAAAGACAGCCAAAATGTCTGTTTCAGCCAAAATACTGCTAGGTGAAATAAAATATTTAATAGTATTCCTGATATTACTCATACACAAGAGTACGTAAAGCAATTAAATATTCATTTGAAAGCGATGCTAAATTTCAGAAATTTTTCCTTTTACGCATTAATTAAAATCCTCGAGACCGTGTTCTGCTTTCCTCTGTATTGCGGATGCGTCAGTAAATCATCGCTAATGTTCATACAGGCGCCTTTATCTGTGCGGCATTGTATAATGCAGCTCTGAGGTGAGAGATCGTTACATCTGTCATCCCATATTTAATCGTTATTAGCGTAAATTATATACTACGGAAAATGTCTGTCTTTTTAATATACAATAGGTTTTACACGCTTTGTGTGTATTGTCGATGAGAATGGTTTCATTTATCGCGTGTGTCATACTATAAAACTCGTGAAAATCCACAATATAATTTATCTTATTCCCCGCAGTAGTATTTCCGACAAGTCAACATTTGTATCAATGCGTCTTTCCGACAGGTTGCGCGCCCTCTAGGGACAAAGCATCTCCGTGGCAACCATTGTTTACGTCCATTAACGTATTCTGACGTCTCGGAAGCGCGTCGTCGTTAGATGTCGCTAGTTATCGGAAACACGTTTTGCATTTTCATTGTAGGGTCGATATCTCTCTTCTCTTCGAAGCTATAAGCGAAGGAAGTTTAGAAGCTGTAAAGCGGTTGCTACTATCAAATAGAATTGACTTGTGTACTAGAGGTATGTTAACCTGTACATTTATTTGTCTGTTCCGCGCAATGGTAGCACTCACTATAGCACAGTCCATCTAGAGGGACTGTGATTATGGTAATACAACATTTCTTCTCGGCATAGCGCTTGTGGTGATTATGTTATTATATATGTGTCATGATGTTGTTCATAACACGCGTGATTACCTACTTTCCTGTTGCCAGGGCCACATGGCGAGAGTGTTCTTCACCATGCACTATTAGTCGACAGAGATGACATCGCTTTATTTCTCGCCGACTGTGACAGGAGACTGGTCAATATGGAAATGACATCTTCACTGTATCTGGGTAAATGTGTAATATTACTAGTAGTCGATTTTATTCACTTTGCTCCAATTGGGGTCTAATTGTAAATTTAATCCACTATATTATGTTATATATATATATATATATATATATATATATATACGCACGCTTAGAGCCGAGAACCAACTCTCGTGCCTGGTGGCTACAGAAGATTAGGTCGCGTATATACCTCGTATATTATTACCTTCGGTTGGTCACTCGATTTGAGCTAATAAACGGCAAAACTGAAAATCGACAAATATTATCTGAATAATGATAACATAACTGCACCTGCTCTGACAATGCCACGCGATTTGAGCTTTAGATCGACGAAAACAAACATAGCTCTCGACAGGGGGCGCCCCCTCACTCGGCCTTGTCGGACGAACAATGCTCTAAAATGTAACTGTTGTTGAACGGCCGTTTCTTGTAGGGGAATCCCCTGTACACATTGCCATTATGAACAATAATGAAACTATGGTGGAGGAGTTGATCAATCGAGGCGCAGATGTCCAGAAACCGAGAGCTTGTGGGACATTCTTTTTACCCGGAAAGGATTGCAAATGTTACTACGGTAGAGTAATTCCCAACGGATATTTATCGTTGTTCATATCCATGCGACTGTTGTATCTTACAAATATATTCATGGGGATAATTTAATTACCTCGGTATACTGTTAATATATTGCATATATATATTTAAAGCCGTGTCGCTTTCGTGTCTTGGTTAGAAGAGTGTGGTATGTATTATAGCGACCGCCAAACATTATTTCAGCATACTACTGCCAGACCACAACAACACATCATACATATTGACTTTTATCCCATTTAGGCGAATACCCGTTATCGTTTGCAGTCTGCCAAGGCCTCAAGAAAACAGTGGAGCTTCTGGTACAGCGTGGGGCCTCACTGAGGGCGAGGGATCGTTTCGGTAACACGCCCGTCCACATGTTGACGACTATCGCAAACACAAAAAGAGCGAAAGAAATGTACGACTTCATAATGAATATGGACGCCGAAGGGAGAATGTCTCTAAGTCATTTGCGAAATGGTATGGGAATGACTCCTATGTCATTAGCTGTGAAAAAAAGAAACATCGAGGTGAGGAAACCGGTTGCCATGAGTGACCAACACCCAAGTAATACTCGGATCCATTATCCTATTAGAACATTATTTGAGTATGTCGACAGATAAAATACTAAAACATACTGTAATAATGTACTCTGGACTCTGGACGTTCACAAAATAGCACTGCAGTTTAAGTATGCCAGTGCGTTACTATATAATACAAGTTCCTTATTTACTGAAAATGTTATTAGATAGTATATACCCTGAATAGCTATCAGTCACGTCTTCATATTAAAAGATATGTTTATGTATAACACGTGAATTTGTCACGTAATTCGTTTATTCTTTTTCCCGAATAGATTTTTGAGCATATGATGAGCAGAAAAAGAACATTCCTATGGAATTATGGGACGACAACTTGCTATGCCTATGATTTAGAAGAGGTCGACACGTTGCAAAATAACTCTATCATCAAGGACATTGCATCGAACCTTCGTAACGATTTTAGGCTTGTGAGCTACTTATTTTGAATATCAATATCAAAAATCAATTAACGTAAATTAACCATAGATTCTTAATTGATTCTAGAATGTTAGATACATTTATGGGCACGGACTGTGGAGAAGATAGCTTGGATTATCGGGGACACAAATATATATTTTAAAATTTAAATAATTTTTTGCGATACTGCCCATTACGATTGTACAGTACCGGGACGTGTGCGTTACAGATATGTGTCGACTAAATGTTAGGTGTATATAGATGAAATTAAAGTTTTAGATAATACTATATTTCAGTTGATTCACATGAATAGTTTATTTGTACATTTAAATATATCTTTAAGAAATTTTTTGTAACTGTTCTAATTACAGTTCAGCGCTTTTGTGAATGTGAGCCCATTAAAAGAGCTGTTGGAATGGAAGCGCTCCAGGTATATTCAAAAGTGGTGGCTATTTTCCACTGTAATGTACTTGATTTATGTGGTTATCCTCACCGCCGTGTTGTATAACCAGCCAATGACGCCCGTGTACCACGTCAATGCCAGCTCGTCGTCCCAAGCACTCAAGATGGAATCAGTATCAGTACAAGTAAGTTAAAATTTCGTTTTGATGAGTAGTGCGCAAGATGGTGATATGAAGCGGGATATTCACATGCTGCTTTTCTTTATTTTAGGATGCCTATGAAACCACCAGCGACTATGTGCGCATGAGTGGGGAAATTTTTGTTATTCTTGCGACGCTTGTCATGACGACGTTTGAGGTAGGTGCGAACTTAGCTACATAGGTAAACATTGCTACTCGTACGTTATCAACAAGTACGTTTAACCTGATTTGCTGTCTTGAGCAATCGTACCTAGTAAGAATGTATTGGGATTTAGTTTTTTTTTTCCAAACTTTTTCCCCCACAAGTCCACACTTTTTTCTTGTCTTTATGGAGATTGTGAACCGTTACGGTTTTATTCATAGTTAGTGTGTGATCGCTACAGATAACCGTATTTAATTTGTAAACAAACATTGCATTCTGTATATACCTTGAAAACTATCATTGTAAATCGAACCTTACACATTGGTTAAAACCATGTAGCTTTAATAAAGGTGCAACATCTGGAGTCTTCAATGTCAGGGCTTGAGTCCAATATAAGTACAACAGGTAGACACTTTAACTAATGTTTCTTTGCGGACTATTATTTAATGAGCTTAAATATATCTTCGACCTCTTGCAATTACAAGCCACTGACCAAGACATTGTGTCGATTACCTATATATACAAGAAAATTCTTCTCGGGTGCGTATCTAAAAATGGCTACGACTTGTATTCTATGAAAGCGACACAATTGATCTAGTTATAAATCTTTGCTTTCCTTGTACATAGTCAGGGATTTCAAAAACACATGAAATTGGCTGCACCCCACAGACAACAAAGATCTGTGATGTTTTTTGCTAAAAAGAAAACCAAATATAATAATGACGTCACTTTAAATTATGGACAATTATGGATGATTCTCAGTAAATCAGAATCATCAACAAAGTGGGCAAATTAAAGCTCTTATGTAATGCTGTTTAATATCAAAAAGTTGTGCATGTTTTTTTGATAACTGCGCTACAATTATTTTCATTTGAGTCTAGTATAAATACTGCAAACACTAATTTGAGTTGTGTATTTGCCAAATTCATTTCTTAAAGATTAAATCAAATAAGAATAACATGAATAAATGAATGTCTTATTTCAACAGATCATCGACATATGCAAGCTTCGTGTTAAAGTATACCTGGGTCAGTCAGCCATTGCATTTCATTTGCTTGCGTAAGTTTCACAACTTGAATTGTTTTTGGATTTGTTATAATTTATTCTGAATTTACTGTTGACCTAATAGAATCGCATTTTTGGAAACTTATTTGAACATTTACCGTTTACTTATTTCAAGAGTGACACCCATGTCAACCAAATGAAACGCATAGTGTTTAATTTGCCAGTTTATTTGGCATTCTTCAAAGTTTTAATTATTATAGAATAAACTTAGTAACCTGCATGAATGTACTGTCACATGAGACATCGACGTTGGATTCGATCACATTTTAATAGAATAAAATCGATGTTCTTGATTGGAAACGTGCATAAAGATATGTATTTTGTGTGTACAAAGTATAGGTTACTTTTAAATAAGGATTGCTACTGAATAATTAGACTGGCAAAGTCGGGACTTCTTTTTTGTTTTACAAAAAGAAATAATTGTTGTTTTAGTCCTTTTAGCGTGATCGCGAAAACTAACCTGACCGCTAAAGAAATCCTGACTGGACGCATCTGCGGGCATTTGACTGATATTAATTATTCATGATGTCATTGATTATTCATGAGTGAGTATTTGAAAGTAAACGTGACCCTTTTAAGGTTGACTCGATTCGATCGCAGAGATGAATACTTTAACTTTTTTTAAGTGAAACTGCGATACTTTCATCCATGTTTACTGAAAACATGTCGATTTAAATGTCCAATGTATATAAGTAGTTATTCAAAAGTGAAAGGTCCTGTACATAGATAAGAGATGACGTATACAGCTGCACTTTGATTCGTTGTCGATGCTCGTCAACATATTTTAAGGTAGAGATGCAGTTTACGTGACAGGTATTTTAATTAGTTAATTAGGAAACCAAGATGACCTCTCTTGTCCACAATACTATATATTTTCGGAAAGCTTATTGTATGAATTTTAAAATTTTGTTAGTATTTTTTTTATGGACACTGTAGTTTGAAATATGCACAAAAATGTGCTTTTTGGTCAAAAGTGATTAAAAAAAAAAGCTTCTAAACCATGCTTCTGTTTCCCGTCAAAATTGGTTTATGGGTACATCTGTTTACTATGGAGAAAGTGCCGTCTTGAAAACTGTCTACCAGTTGTCAATGTTGCAGGGCAGCATCTCAAATTTCACTACTTCAAGTTTATGCATAAATTAACACCCAGGCTAGTTGGATGTACGATTGTTGTAACACTATTCAACCAAAAACAATGCCCGACGGCGTTTTGACGATAAACACATTGTCAATCATTTGTGAAAATTTCAAAACAAAAGGTCAAAGCGTCTAGGAGCTTTTTTTTTAAAGTTCTGGGATGTGCACTAAAAAGAAGCTGAGATAATTGCTAATTTGCATAACAATTCACTCAGTAAGAAGTTTGCTCTTGCTCATAATTAAAATGGCTGTAACAGTACAAAATTTAAATGTATTATCGTTTTGTTAAAAGTTAAATATAGTGCATAATATGGAGATCCCGTCATTCCTTTTTTCACCATGTTTTTTTTTTATTATTTATGTACAGCCTTACTAAATCTTGCTAAGTATTCAAAAGAGATAATGTTTGCACCTGTTATCTATATTTTAAAAACGTTTTTGAGTATGTTCCACTATTCACAATTCTACAAAATTTTAACAGTCTATAGCCAAGACTGTTTGAATAATAAAAAGCAAAAGAAAAAATCACTCCCAAGTGCTCATGAACCTGCATCTCTACCTTAATTAGCATAATTACCGGAGTGATTCCGCTCCGGTTTTCACTCCAACGCAGGGAGTCACTTGAAAATGCGCCCAGTCGGGATTTCTTTCGCAGTGACGCTAGTTTTCGAGGTCACGTTAAAAAGACTAAATTGACAATTAATTATATTTTTTTGTAAAACAAAAAAAAAAAGAATTCCGGACTTTGCCAGTCTACTGAATAATCTTTACACTATTGATTTTGAAGTTTCTTTACATTGTGTGTAGTTGGTGTGTGATCAATAGCGTTCTTCTTCAACCGTTCTTCCGAGTATCTAGATTATCGCAAGAAGTTATTTCAGCGTGCGCACTCCTGTTTGGATGGTTCTACTGCATGTTTTTTGCCAGAGGATATAAATGTACAGGTCCATTCATATTCATGATCCAATCTGTGAGTTAATTTAAATTATGTTAAATATTTCGCACACTGGCCGTGTGAGATTTACTAGTTTCAACACAATAAGTTTGCAAACTTTGAAAACAATATCTGAATATCAACTCCTTTGGATACGATTGGTTGTCACAGTAAAGTATTGTGTACGATAACTGAAACCACTTCTTCAGATATTCCTATTGATGCCTCGTATAATATGATTCGTACTCGTAGATTCTGGTTAAAGATATAACCAAGTTTTTTATGGTTTATTTTATCTGTCTTACTGGATTTTCACTCGGTAAGTCAATGTATCTAAACTATTTATCATTGTTAATACACGAGGCTAGTATAATAAAACCGGAGATAATATCAATACCCAATCTCCCAAGCAGATGTCTATATCTACGGAAATATCTCTGCTACCATGCTATTTTATGCTCGTCGTTGATTGGTCGATACGTCACAGTCGAAGACGCCCACCAAAAACTTGCCATGCATGTCTTCGATTTTCGAACCCGACGGAAGCGTATGCGTTTTTTTGTATATTCTGGCAGCTTTATAATTTATATTGCTCGGTGATCGACAGGGCGGTCCGCTTGATGAACCGAGTAACACCTTAGTAACCGTTATTCCTCGATGAAATTAACTATTTCACGGTTAATCGGTGAGTTTACGAAACAAAATAATCATCCGCTATCGATAACATATTTTAAAACTTGTTTACTGGCATGAAGAAGTCAATACGAGAGCCTCCTCTAACAATTAAACGACAAAAAATACGCGTAGAAACAGTTATGTGGCGTTTCACCAAAAATGGCGGTGTGTGGTGACAGAAATACTTTTTGTATTCCGGCCGCAAGGATGTCTGGGATGGAGAACAATCAATACCCACACGATATTCAAATTCAAAGTTGTAAAAGATAAATAACACTGCAAACGTCTGAAAAACGTATCACAAGTACAAACTCAAGGAACTAAACAATTCGCTACAAATCAAATCAAAAAAAGATTTGGAATATTCTGCTCCATGTCATAAGTGATACCTGATCACTCAATTATGCGGGTTGTCCATAATTAGCACGTCATAAAGAAATAATAAAAAAAAAAACTTTATGCTTTTGAGATATCAAATATCATGCATTGATTTGATTTAAAAATAGCACTAGAAATTTAACTACTTGCGCAGTATGCATATAACAGGTTCCGACCCACTCGAGAAAACTGTCAAAACAAACATGGAAAACTGCGCATTATCCAAATTAATTTAAATAGATGTGTATCAGCAACAACTGGTCAAGATTGCATTTCAATCGAGACTCTCTACGATATGAGGTAGAGGCGTTGTTTTGATGAAATGTAACTCGGCACATACATAAATAAATAAAGTTCAATTACATTAATTTCAACTTTACTTAATTACACTATTATAAACTATATAATTTATTTACATAACATTTCTTGTCTTGCTTTTTTTATTCCCAGCAATTCACATGATGTATTATCCCATTCCTGATTACTGTATGCCACGTGAAATGGCGTCACTGGGAAGTACGGCAGTCTTCTTAAATAGTGCAATGTTAGGACTGGTACAGTTGGATATATTTGACGACCCTACAGTACGTATTGTTAAAATAACCCAGCTTTCACAATACCAGTATGCCAATACACAGATTTTGTAATACAAATAAACTCCCCATATGGAATAATATGAGAACTTGAAAAGCATGACTATAAAGCAATGGATTACATTCACGTATTAACGAGTAATTTGTTTAGTTTCAATATATAAATCAAAGACTACGAACATATGTTGAAAGACTCCTAAACGAAACCGATTCAACTACACTGATACTGGCACTATTTGAAAAGTTAATCCAGCGAACTTGTTCATTTAAATATGTTAGTCTGCAGTTTGTGTTTGTTAACGTGACAATCACACCCCATTGCTTGATTACTTTGGTATCATTAAATAAATTTTAAAAAGTTTGAAAAGCCATTTCTTACAAAACAGAAAAAAACACAGAAACGATTGCAGTATTTTTGAAAACATGAGTAGTTGAAGTGAAATTATTATTTGGCTAGAAATGTCCAAATAGCGTACTCTATACTACTGAGTAAGTTGGTCGGGACAGTATTCCTGAACCATTTCTAGTGGCACCTCATGAAGTATATGATTGCAATAATCTTTTTTTTAACTGAAGTTGATTATTATTGTATATTTTGCAGACGTCCTCTTTCACAAAGGCTTTAATTTATGCATATTTAATAATCGCCTATGTGCTGATGCTTAATATGCTGATTGTCATGATGGGAAGTTCATATTCGGCCATTTTTAATGACTGGAATCATCTTTGGAGTATGCAGGTATGTATTTATCAAGTAGCCTTGCTGTATTAGGCATGCGTATTCCACGTAATCATCGTCAAATGGTAACTGGATCAAACTGAATCTTAAACGTTCACGAATGTAAACGTGATTATACATATACACCATGTGTCGTTTCTTACTAGAAAGTACTAACTACACTCGTGGTTGAGCGAAGAGGACCTAAATGTTTTTTCCCAAAGGCTGGGATTAATGGAGTAGTTATTGGACTGAATCCAAAGAAGCAATATATACGGTAAGGGTGTTGAAACATGCGTGGTGCTGTACCAGTGTATCTAAGTGTTCAGGTATAATGCATATCGACACGTGTTTCCCACCTTAGTTTATCTTAAAAAAAAGACGTGTTCTTCATTTAAAGCACTTTCGTGAAAATTATCAATCATATAATAGTGAAATTTATAATAGTTGAGTTTGAGGAGGATGAAAGATTGCATTATTGGTTTGTTTTGTTATAGAGTTGAAGTTACTGACGAAGAACATTCGAAGATTCATCGCAGTATTCCACATCATTTTATAACAGGAAGACTAATGTAACCATCCCAGCAAAAATAGTGTTAGGATCATTCTGCTGAATATAACCAATTTATTGTGTTTTGTACTTTCTAGTTTATTGCAGACCATATCATTTATTATTTAGCAGACTAACACAACACACAAGTGTTTTAGGTAATTACATTTATTATGCTTGCAATATTTTCAATAAGGCTAGTATTTCCATTGAAGTCGATTCATTGCATGCATTGTCCGCCTAATTAGTATGTTTGTGAGTCTGGTTTTCGTTGTACTAGACTAAGTTCGTAGACTTAATAAATGAAGTACTTTTAGATATCTATGAAATCGCAATATATGCCGACATTTACCTAGATATTTGTTTTCTTTAAAACCTGCATCGCCTATATGCCTTCGACATTATACTGGAAATGTAGAGCCAATGCAGAATTATTAATAATTATTTCTTTCCTATCCCGATGGACATATTCAGTTAATAGTAAATGTAGTAGTGTTGTATTTATATTCGATGGATGAGATTTTGATGTGCAAATTTGTAGGTAATTTACTAACAAGCAACATATAAACGTTTCTATAAAGGACGAAATGAATGACACAACACACAAAACTAGATGTATTGACTAATACTTGAAGCGAGCATTTTTTTTAAAACGGTAATATCTACTTTGTTTTGCCATCAGAGTTGTGTCAATAATCTGTGATGTCACCGTTTTTAGAAATGGTACAAATCGAGATAATTTTTATGTTTAACATCAAATAATGATTTTGAATATTCACTCTGTATGCCAATATACTTGTTATCAAGAAGTTAATATTATTCATCAACAAGTCGTGCTCTTTGCTGGTTGATTTATTTCTTTATTATCCTAAAGCTCAAGCAATCGGGACATCGCATTCGAACGTGCAATGTCACGGTATCCAATAACATCTCAGTCTATATACTTCTTTTGCTTTTAGTTTTGTGTATTAGAATAGGATAGTGAAAATTGACTTGTACAGATACACAATTAATACTTAACTAGATATACGACATGTGCTATACATTGTTTTCTATGGTAGTGTAACTACATTATAATATAATGTGGTGACAATTTTCACAAGACTCACGCGACAGACACATTTATTATATGTTGAAAAATGAATCTAAATAAAGATATCATGTATATATAGTCTAAACTAAAGTATGACAGTTATTTATATTCTCAGTAGAATGCTGTTGCAAATGAGCTATTTAAAAAGAGATTATCACAGAAATAATCATGTGAACGAGTCTGTTAAGGAAACCGATTTAATCGCAAGTAGATATTGTTTCCACATCAAATCTTATCGAAAATGATCCATTCATTCTTTGATGACATTAACTTTTATTTACTCGCATATGGTACCCATCAAGAATGAGATCCTCATCTTACATAACTATATATAAACTGCGTAATCTTATCTTTAAAATGTCTACATTCGTTTTAACAACGCTAGTCCATAACTATTGGCGTCGTCACTCCAAGTCTTTTCCAAGTACAGTCCATTTCTCTTCATGGTATCTTCAAATTGATTCCATGACCATTTAAGACTCCCGTTTACCAATTCGTGCCTATATAGAAGTTCACCTTCTTTAAAATGTATAGTTAAACCTAGCGTGTCTGTAAAATATGAATATATATAAAATGATATTCTGTCAATAGAGAAAAATCATCACAATGTGTACCATACACTACTAAACCTTGTATATTGTAAGGTTCCGAAAAAAAAACAATATTAATATACACAATAATAGTAATTCTAGTGAAGACCACAGATATAGTTCATACGAACTAGTCTAGTATGTGGCCCCGTGATATTGATGTGATTAATTAAATGCTTGAAGATTGAATTAATTATATACAGATTCTGAAACATAACAAGTATATTGATTCATGAGATACAGTTTTAACGTATTTTTTCAATAAATATCTGCTTTCAATATTTGTTATGGAATCAGGAAGTGAGGTCCAGTTTTTTGCTACCGCATATATGATACTGTGTTGATTAGTAGTAAGATTAATTATAGGAATATAATAATTGGAACTAGTAGCATGACGTGTTGCATAGTTGTGTGGAAGAGTTTCGAAGTAATGGTCAACATTATGGGCAAACTAGTTTTTATTAGGATCAAAAAACAAACTCGGGTAGTTACTAAGTTTATAGAAGTCTACAATATTTGTTTTTTTAATAGGAGGGCCGTTGGGCACGAACATTTGAAAACTTTATTCTAGCTAACATTTTTTTTCTGGAGTAGTATAATTTAGTCAAGAACGGATTTGTAGGTGTTACCCTAGATTTCAGTAAATAATATGTGTTAAAATGAGAGTTGTAAAGCAAGATAAGAATAGAAAGTGGGACAAAATGACGGATTTTAGACAAATTGCGTTCTTAACAATTAAATTTATTGTCACTCACAGGTACTTTTAAATAAGACGCCCTCTATAGTTTTATTTTGCATCTTAACGTTGCCACAAGTAATTGCTCTTAGATGTTTTAATTAACATATTAGTTTTGTTTGTGTTGATGATTGATTTATGTGCATTGCACCAGTTGCACACCTTCTGGAATTCGAAGTTAATGTTGTTGAGATCAATAACGTTATTTCTAAGAACTTTGAAAAGATTGGTGTCGTCCGCAAAAATCGAAAACTCTGGTTAGCAATATCATTTATATACAAGAGAATTAAAATCGGGCCGAGAATCGATCCCTATGAAACGCCGCAAGAGATATTTCGGGGTGGGGGTGGGGGTGGCGGTGGCGAAGTGCTTGTGTCAATTACACCATACTGCTTGCGACCGGAACGGTAGTTTGTTAACCATTGTAGTACTGTACCCCCCAAGTCCATAATTTTCGAGTTTACTGGCTAATATGCCATGGTCAATGGTATCAGCCAGGGCCAGTTTAATATTGTGTTTTTTCGATAATCATACTGAAGTTGTTGGAGTATTTCATATTTTTCCCAAGTAATTAATCATTTCTTAGCCAACAATTATCTAAAAACTTTACTAATGGCAGAAAGAATCGAAATAGTCCTGTAATTTCCCACATATGTACTGGGTCCTCTTTTTTAAATACGGCAGTAATCCTGGCTATTGAGCAGTTAATGATGTGAGCAAGGGGAGCTGAGATAATGAAAGATGAATGAATGGCAAGTTTTGAGTGGATTTGGTCGTAACCAACAAACTTTTTTGGGTCTGATTGATTGATCTTGGTGAAGACGTCATAATCAGAAACATAACTGAAGAAGTATGAATTAGGCTAGAGTCTATTGAAATATATGATTAATGTTGTTAGTTACTAGCAGCTAGATTCGGCCCAATATTTGTAAAGAATTAGACTAATTCCTCGGCGATATCAGTTTCATTAGTTAGAATGGTGTCATTAGAAGTGACGAGCTTTTGTGCAATGTTATTAGTGGTTTTATTGAGAATTTAAATGGTCACCTGACATTTGTTCTTATTAACAGAGTTTAATTTATTAGTGTAGTAACGTTGTTTGGGCATTTTTAGCAGTTTATATTGATGATTCTTGTATTGCCTATAATAAGTGCGTATCTGGATATTATAAATTATTCACACAAATTAAAAAATAATATTTACTTTTGCTCGATTTTAGAAAACCCTTCGATAGTCATGGCTTATTGGCATGTTTCTTGTTAATGTTAGCCGTTTTGTTCTTCAGATGCTCCGAGCAAACAGTGGGGAAAATGTTATAGAATTTGATTTGATATCTTGTTTATCTCGTATGCAGTTTAGCTAAATCCCAATTTGTGGAAACATATTCAGTAATCATGCATAATTGCTCTTTTCCGAGTTCCAACAAACATTCTATTCTGCCACGTGAGAGTGCAGCAAAAACTTCATTTCATTCATATATGTGAACAGTATTGCAACGTCATCTCTTGAAACCTTATCCATTTTGACACATTTTGCACAAAACTGTAAATATTTACTATAAAACAGTAATGCATAATTATGAGAAAATACGAAAACCAGAATTTACAAGCACTGTGAACCCAGAATATGTTTTGCGACTTTCATTTTGTAAGCTGTGAGAAATAATCTCAAACTGACAAATGATTTTGGTATGAACATCAAGAGTGAAGTTTTACAGGCCTGCCAAACGTCTGTAAAGTATGTTTCTCCATATCACATGCGCATACTGATAAACTGGAAATATAGTGACCCCCATTGCGCGCGCTCACTTTCGGTAGAAATGGAATAAACTTTCGTCTACACAAATAATTTAGAAATCATTCACCGATTCCCGTTCATGTCCATAATTGATCTTTACACGATAAACAAGATGTTTAATATAGTTATGATTTCGAGGATGCTTCGGCCACATTAATATTGATGTTAGTCAATTCATAGTCTTTTACGCGATCCAGTAGAAATGGGGACCTAACATTGGTGAAATAAACTTAAGTTATACGGACGAAAAATGGAGTACAGAATATTAGAAATTTCATGTATGCGATTTCATAGCAAAAATCATTTTACTGAAACTTTTACTGACAATACTATTCGACAGTTTTACATTTTGCTATTGTCCAAACTGACACAAAATATCTGTTTGCATGGACCATTGAGAACATTGAACAACTTTATTACATCAAAGTTCCATGATATATTACATAAAGCAATATTGTACATATGCAATGTCACCTCGTCACCTTGGTACTAACAAAAATTGACTTGTACAGATACACAAATAACACATATACTTACCTAGATGTACGACATGTTCGCACGTGCTTTTTAGGGCCTTTTGTATATATTGTGCGTGTTTAACGGTGCCACACATGTCATCACGAATAACGTAATTGCAATGTAACTGGAAATTTTCCTTTTTGAAGTTTGCGTTGAACTCTCTATTCAATCGATTCAGTAGGTTTTCATTAAATGATATTCCCATTTTTGGATCAGAATGCATGGCAAGAATTTTATCTTTATCTTGCGTGAGATCAATACCAATCAGAAATCTATCTTTTTCTCCTGTAAAATCAGAACATTAGTTCAGGTCAGTTCACCCGTTTTCTTGCTACCTGTCATCTGAAAACATTCCAATTATTTGGGGCGGCTGAACAAATTTCTTTCTTTTCTTACATTCCAACAGGTTGTGGTGCACTGGGGATTAGTGGTACACACAATACTACTGCACATATAAATATTACGAAAACAAATAACACAATATATTGAGTTTTAGAGGAATAAAATCTGCAGATATGTTTCACAACAACTTAACCTTAACGAATAAAGAAGGACTTTACACCTACCCATTGTTTCTAAAACCCTTGATAAAAAATTCTCCATTTTATTCAAGGGTATATTGCTTAAACTATTTCCCAGAAATATGAGCAGTTTCCCTTTTCGTATACTTCTTAAATAAGTCAAACCATCATTATAATCCCCAACAAATGGCTCAACCAAAACGGAATCAAATTGTTCCTGTAACACGGTAGCATTTTGCAACATAAAATCTGTAAGACACGAAAGCAGCACCATGAGAAAAACGTGTCGAACTATTGAATGTTATGGCAGCGGTGGAAGAAAATACCAAAACACACAGATAATTCAACAACACATGTATTATAATAGCAATGTATATATGAAACCAGACATGATTAGTACAACTTCTGAGGATCTGGATGGAAATTCATCAATATGTATATGATTGTTGTCAAATGTTGCCCTCTTATTTCATTTTACTTCACTTAAGTGGTTTTATTGTTTTCCAACTGTTGAACCATAATTTTGGATGGATAAATGGAAGAATTTAAGAAATTCATTCAATTACAAAACTGTATACACACCTCCAGCTATATCAATCGGTATATACGTCAAGTCTTTGTTTTTATTCAATAATGCTGATATTATGTGTGTAGTCTTTGTTAAACTGCCAGCACCCAACTCACATAACACAATGTCATCTCCTAAATCAGAGATAATCAAATCTACAAAAATATGGTAATTACATATGTATTTGTTATTTTGGTTTCAACCCTGAATTGAATATGACATTAGAATACCATGTTGGTCCAAACGAGAGGCCCAATAATCTTTTGATTATATGGGTTTTCTAGTGAATTTGTTATGACACGTCATACAATCAAGTATTGTTGTAGATATATGTTATGTGTTGGAAGTGGGGAGGTGTCGGAATCACACAAATGATCAATACTACAGAGTAACTACAAAATGATATAATTAAGTAATTAAATATTCAATTTGAAACAATTGGGCCAAAAAGTTATAAATAACTCCAGTAGGACACATTCCCTCGACATTTCTGGGTCTAGGTTACTTATATTTGTAAATACGCACACCCACCTGAATATTGTCCCCAGCATGGTCTTAAAATATACTTTCGAAAGAACGTTGGTACAATGATAAAACTTGGCGAAGCAGCTGTGCTAAATAACTACAGTAGGACACCCCCCTCCAGATTCGCACATTTATGAGTCTAGGTTACATAAATATGTAAATTCTCACACCCACCTGAATATTGTTCAAGCATAGTCTTTTCAGTTCGATAAATATGATATAAAGGATTTTCCATAGCATTTTTTTCGAACAGTTTTGAACCTTGAGTGTCGTATAAATACCAGTGTGGTACATACTTTGGTGTGGATAACAATCCTTCTTTTATTTTCTTCTCCATTGTCCTGTATGAAATAATAATCTTCTGTTGAGTCTGAAAACATATAGTAGGACATACCAGCAAAATCAGGGATTGCATTTTGTGTTCATCTTCAGTAAATAGAAAAAAGAAGAAAAAAGAGAAGAAAAAATGTATTTACCAAACGCCTCAGCGTGGTATTACGATTTTGTTTTCAGGGGTGGGTGATACCAAGTTGAAAAATGGATGCACATATGGGGTTAATTCCTGGAATTGCAATAGAGAGGGCTCAGGCCAAAATACAATATATAGTGTTTTCATGTTTCGTCTGATATTTCTGTGGTATTCTGCTGCTGTAACTAATGCAAGATTGTATTGTGTGCACTCAAGGGTTATTCGTTTTTTGCTGATAACACCCCTATTTTTCAATGGCAGAGTCAAACTAGTTTCACTCCCACTGGGAAATCTGCATTGTTGCTTGAATGAGAGCTAATTAAACACTTTTCCAGACCGGCGAGTATGTAACAGCAAATTTTAACAGCGTATCACGTGATTTTACTCAAAATGTCAACATAAAATAAAGCTATTCCATTTTAGGCAGGAATAATTGGGAGTAGAATATGTGAGGGATAGTATCAACAGAGATGTGCATACTGAAAAGTAATATATATCCTTCTTTTGCATCTCTGAGCATTTCTGTTTTAATATACTGGTTTTAAAATTTTGGATTTGCATGATTTGAGATGTTTTTTTTTACTGAAACTCCCCTATTGATCGAATCCCGGGTTCGAAGGAGAACGACACACCACGTGATTCGTTTGAATACAATAATGAAAAGTGCAGATAGGCCTCAAAATTGTGCATTGACAAACATGCCGTTCAACTTCAGTACTACTACACTGACGGGATGACTTTCGTCGACAGCGGTCTTTGCTGAGCTGCACGCCACAACTTCACTTGTGATGTTGCTTGTTAGCCGTCATGGGGGATTGAATGAATATTGATTACCGGTTTAAATGTTGCTCATTTGGCGTTGATAATCTTTATTTGGAACTAGCTAACGCCGCAACATCGCCAGCAAAAACCTCCTGGTACTTTGATGTTGATGGTTGCTCTTCATGGCAATCGCTAATTTTACTTACTGTTTATAAAACTCAAGCAACATACATCAAGTTCTGTCAATCGTAGTATTCCATGTGATGTACACCTAATATGCCAAACATGTTGCTGGACGTTTTGAACTGGATAAAAATAGCAGGCGAACATTTGTTTACAAAATAAAAATGGGTTGGTTGCCAATGAAAACAAGCCGGTAGTCTGGTTGGCGATCCGCTCCGCTCAAAAAACAAGCAATATGTTTTCGGTTTATAACTAAAGTCTTCAGAAGTCACTTTATTTCATTGCTAGGACGTATTCTGTCGTTAAATGTATTATTTCCAACCAATTTGCGATAGTATTTTCTAGATTGGAGTTAGCATTTACATTCCATTCAAAGTTGCGTTGTGATTATGTTGATACAATGTAACAATGTCTTACCGGTGTGCAACCGTTATTACAAGACTGGTAGGAGATAATAAATTTAGGACGAAAGTATTCCAAAAACAGTTTTTGGCTGTTGCCATGGTAGTGGTGGCCCAGGATTGTTTTTCCAATTAGTGACGATACGGCCTGCCTGTCAAGTATGAACAAAATTAGCCAAGCCAAAAAAAATCTCAGACGAGTTAGAAGCCGTTGCTGGTGAAAAGTTACCCCAACGTTGGCGTAAATTTTCTTGGTAACGAAAATAGACATAAAAAAACAGTAAATTGTTGCCCACACTCAAGCTGAGTAGAATTAGCAACGTCCGTGCTTTTTAATCATAGAAATGTAGAGTGTGATACATTTGGCGTGAAGGTATTCAAAAAAGAAGTTTTTGGCTGTTGCCATGGAAACGGTAGCCAGAATTTGTTTTCAGATTTTACAACCTAACTAGAGTGAAGGTGTGACTTGCCTGCCAAGTTTGAACCAAATCGGCCCAGCCAAAAAAAAAAAATCACAGAAGAGTTAAAAAGCCATTTCCGGTGAACAGATACCCTAACTTTGGGGTCAAATTTCTCATTAATGAAAACATATATCAAAAATTCAAATAGTAACTTTTTGCCCACACTCAAGCTGAGTAGAATAAGCTATGTCTGATGTGTTGTATCCAAAATTTCTAGGAGGAGATACATTTAGCGCGAAGCTATCCAAAACCAGTTTTTGCTGTTGATATGGCAACTGTGGGCAACATTTTTTTCCAGATTTGTTATAATAACTGGGGTGAAGGTGTAACCTACCTACCAAGTTTGAGCGAAATCGGCTAAGCCAAACAAATCACAGAAGAATCAATACGTGAAAACACTGGAAATCACACACACACACAAAAGTGATTTTAAGTGGAGCGGATCGCCAATACCATGCTCATTTGCATAATGACCGTGAAAATACTGAAAACATTATTGCATAAGTTATACGCAAATTAGTTTTAGTCAAAATAAGTGACTGCCTAGAAGTACCATTACTGTTGTTATATTCATGTACCCAAGTATATTCATGTACCCAAGGGTAAAATATCGTACTTCTAAATATTGTATATTTCTGCTATGTTTCGAAAAACGCTACTCTTGAAAAGACTACTTTGTTTGCTCTCAGACCACATTTGCATATGGGGTGTCGAAATACCGATTTTGATTTCAGGGACGTGTTATGATAGCGACTTCACGTTCGCATATTCCAATCCCACGCCGTTGCACTATTGTTTAGAATCAACAACTTGCATGTTTAGGGAGGAGATTATAAACATATATTACAGCAATTTTATTAATAGATTGTTTACTTATTGTATTTAGTAGTGGCAACTTCGCAAAGCTTTAACTGTGAGACACAACCCTGGTAATCACGCGATCATGCCAACGACTGCGGCGATAGGTTGGTCACATGGTTACTCTGCCACGCCTTAGAGATTTTACTTTTAATATAGAGTTTGTAAACTTGTATGCTTTACCATGCTTTAATCTCATAAAATCTGATAGACGTTACACGCAAAAGATAGAGTTAGAAATTTCAAATAGAAGAATACAATGTCCATTTTCCTGGACAAGTGGGAGACTTTAATTGTTAATGGGTTCCCACAACTGGTAACGGGTATACAGTGTCTATTTTGTATGAGTTATATTAGCTGTGACATTTGTTGTATCTTGACATTGTGCTGTAACCTAATTTCTATTGTATGCAATAAAGAAGGATAGGTAAGTATGTATGAATAACAAAAAAATGTAAAAGGAGGGAGAGAACCGTGCAGCGAAGGGTTACTTGTGTGAATAAAGCTGGACTATCTGTAATGAACTTATGCGTATTCATTTGGGTCGAACCTGGTACCTCTACGTGTGAGTGACATCAGCCAAGCGAGACGAAGTTCCCTGATCCCTGAACACAACGCTTGTGTTCACAACATACGAATTAAAATAAATTTCATTACATATGTAATAATGATGAATACTTCATTTTCACTACAAACATTTTTCCGCTAAAATAAATTCCAGTGAAAATGCAATTTTCGTCATACTCTATTGAGACTTGACACAACACAGTAAAAATTGGATTCACATGGAATGCTTGAAAACTTTTCATCGAAAATAAATTAGGTGAAATTCTATGTGACTTCATGAGTTTAGGAAATGAGTAAATTACCAATTACTGAACTGACATGGAGTTAAAGCTCCAACAATTACAAAGGCTGAATGGAGAGACGTTCACAATTTAACATTAATCGTACATGATGTGACAGGCACTTCCTTCATCTGCATTCGTTATTATGTTCGATTAAATTCAGTAGTGGCATGGGCATAATGTACTTTATTTACCCTATACCAATCAAGCTCTCGTTTGTCAGTGACATGGAAATGCTTCTGGTCCATGAAACATAATAAAACAGTTATTGTAGAGAGCTAGTGCCTCAATATGCAGCCTTATCAGTATCATAACTGTGTATTCCACATATATATGACAATTATTTGAAAAATCTCTAGAAAAATCAATAAATAAATAAATAAAGAAAAAAATCTAAGAACTAATAGTAACAGTGCAAAAGCATAACCTTCCCTTTACGTACAAATGATACCCACAATCACTGAGGTAAGATACAAAGTGAAATCGTGGTAACCACAGTGGTCAACATTATTGATTATCAGGCAGGTGTTCGGAAATGTCTTAGTGTCATTGACATGTATGTCCTCCACGTCATTTTACGGAAGTAACTCACTAAATCAAAATTAAGGTTAAACTGTAATAGACACTAATCTTTCGTGTAAAAAACCTCCATTGGGAAGTTTATTATTCTTTGTTATTTTATTTGCTAAAATCTGATGTTCGATGAACGTTGATATATACTGCTGTTTTTAAATGACACAACAATTTATGTTTCCTTTATTAGTGCATAATATATGTTTCTAAATTTTCTTTCCAAAGCACTCTGTCAAAACAGGAAAATAGATATGACCCGGATGTAAAACACCATACGCATGCGCAGTTCAAACAACTATGTGCAGGTCAGTGTCCTCCCTGCTTCGAATACATTTGTGTTTCACAGTTTTGTACAGTCAGACTTGTTTTATAAATATGATTAGCTACAGTAGTCAACGTTTATAAGTTACAGTTCTCATTTATGAAAGAGAAATATGTTTACTAGTATATTGAACTTATCCCAATGTTAGAACATGTTCTGGTTACTCAGACATACAAGCAGAATAATAATGTAAAAACAATCACATCACGCATTAAAGGGAACCTCAATCCAAACAACATAATGACACCTAAAGAAAAGGCTCCACAAATGTAGGAGAATGCAATTTACAGTTTTGTTGTATCACTTTTCATTCTCTAGATATTCCACTTTTCATCAGTATTACGTAGTCAGCCATCTTGATTTTCAAGCAAAGGATTATGGGTAAAGTATGACATCATAGAATCTGTTGTCAGAAATTGAGAAAATTATTTCATCTATAACTTCAAAAGTTGAACTTCAG